GCTCTGGCTTCTGATTGGTCAATAAAGCCTGTTCTGTTGTACCGGTCTTTTACCTATTAGGGCTCGGGTATTCTACACAACATCTGTGGTGTGACGTCGGATCAGGGCGAAGGCATAGTGGACCACCTGGCCTCAGCCAATCCTGTGGCACTCTGTGTTTTAATGGCATGCGAGGAAGATAAGCAGCCAATCAGAGAGGGACTCGGCTGAGGTGCAGTATATAATGAGCGGCGTGGCCAGCGTGGTGGACTCGGATGGAAGGCGCCTGAAACGTGGCTCTGGCTTCTGATTGGTCAACAAAGCCTGTTCTGTTGTGCCAGTATTCTTCCTATTAGGGCTCGGGTATTCTACACACTGTAGTTCGATGGCGAATAAGGGCGCAGACATATTGGTTCGCGCTGGCCTCAGCAAAATGTAAAAAGCAGAAAAGAATTTATCCCAGAATAAAAATGGCTGTGAAATTTCATAGTTCATCTAGGTTTTGATTTTGGTTAGGCAGGTAGAACCGGGGGTGGCCCCACGGACATGATAGAGGATGGATGTATTTATTAGCCACTCTCAATCTGTGTCCATCAAACGGCTGTATTCTCCGTGATTCAGGATATTTTTTTGCCTTGGTCCATAGTTTCCTACTAATCTTTATTCTTTGTTATTCAAACACAGAGAGATAGGACATTTGCTGACCTTAGCGTAATCCTAAATATCTTCTGCTTTCTCCGTCAATACACTACCTCTTCGCAGGTGAGAGACAGCCCCTGGCTCCTATATTGATTCTTCGCACTGCCACAGCGATTCTTGTGACAAAATATCTATATTGACTTTTGTATCCCACATCTGGAAGGTGACTGAACCAGGTGAATTCTGCACAGAAAACTATAGCCCTTTGACTTGAATAAAGTAGTCGTTCATCCCGGGTTCCTTCTCCTCTTACAATCAAATTGGCTTTCAATGTCCCCTGGTCGTCGCAAACTATCCGAATTCTCTTTAGACGCAGTTATCCTAACCCCATATAATGTCAAGATATGTAGTGATTTTGAAAATCGGTTGATGTGCCAAGAGATGTAGCTGACGGTATTCATGGATCTGCGCAAACTGGTTAGAATAACAAAGCCATGGAATCATATGAAACGCCGTGACAACTACAGCTAGCATTTAATGGTCTTTGACTCTGGTGTCTATTTTTGGGAAAGGGCTGGGATTCGATTCGCGTTATTCGAATGCATACGCTGCCATCAATGTAGAATAGCCGAGTCCTAGTGTAGAATACGCGAGCCCTAATATGAAGAGGCTTTACTGACTAACAAGAAACCAGAGCCACGCGTCAGACGCCTTCCATCCGAGTCCGCCACGCTGGCCATGCCGTTCATTATATACTGCACTTCAGTCGTGTCCTCTGTTTGGCCGCTTATCTTTCTCGCATGCCATTGGAACAGAGAGAGACACAGGATTGGCTGCAGCCAGGGGGTCCAACATATCTGCGCTTTGATCCGACGCCGCACTGCCTCCCCCTTAGGAGTGAAGCTGTCCTCAGCTTCTGGCTTGGTCCACCGCACTATTGTTGATTTTCAGTGTTGGTAAAATATCCAGTTCAACACTCCCCGCACCTCACATTTGGCAGGATAA